GTGAGAAGGCTTCTTTCTGCATCTGTTGGTTCTCAATTACCTTCAGCTCAACTAACCCACACTGAAAAGTGCCATATGTTAGGGTGGCATATTCTGATCTCTTTCAGGATATATCACAATATAAAAACTAGCATGGCATATGCCCTTGCGGGACTTACGATTAGTAATAATTTCATCAATAGTCAGAGAAATACATGAAAAATGGTAACTGTGACACTTGCTAGGAAAAAGAGAGACACTTTACCACTTCATATTGTCAAAGGAGTGGGGAGTATGGTGGAATGAGCCAAAAATGAACCAGCAGGTAGAGTCCTCTCATCACAAAGGGAAATCTCTTTAGCAAAGAATAAATAATTTCCATTAAAAAAAGCTCCATATATATGTCTTAAATAAGGATGTAGGGAGTAGAAAAAGAAATATATGAGATAGATCTGGTAATGTAAGATTTGAGTGAAGATTATACTTCCAAAAGAAATAGCAGAAGCCTGGTGTTTCTGAGAAAGAAAAAAGTTATTGTTGCAGGAGTTTGAATTTTAGATTTTCATTTATGTATAATAGAAATCTATCAGAATGTTGTTGATTACAGATTTATTTGGGATGAACAAACATATTTTTAAGTATGCTTAATAAATACAAGAGCATTTAGAAGATGGAGTGACCAGATCTAGTTGGGTAGGGAAAAAATATGTACCGTTATAGATTCTTCTTTAAAGTAGACTATGTTTAGTTTTCAAGGAGACAAATGTTCTATTCATTCCTTAAAATCTACCTGAAATATCCTTTCTTTTTTAAAGCTACTTTTATTTTATCCTCTTTGTGCTTTCTACCTTATTGAAAAAGATTCTTCTCCTAGTGCCCCAGTGTTCTTTGTGTGATTCTTTAGTGTCCTCTTAGCTTACAGTAGTCCTCTCTGAGCTTCGATACTATAAAAACTTCTCTATTAGAGCACTTTTCACACAGGGGTTTGGAGGACAAACTCTGGATCCAGGCTGTCTGGTTTGAATCTATGCTCTTCTACATGCTATGCAAATTGGGCAAATTATTTCTATATGCTCTAATTTTCTCATGTGTGGAAGGTTTATAACAATAACACCCATAGGGCTGTTAGAACTAAATGAGGTAATACATGTAAGTAGCATAAAGCCATGTCTGACAAATAAATATGAAAAAGAAGGGTAGTTCTTTCTCTTATGATTACTAATGTATTATATATTGGGAACAGCATCCATTCAACTGATTTATTTGGTTAAACAAAACTCCCCTTATAAATGTACTAATCAATGCTCACAAAGACAAATACTATATAGTTTATCACCTAAACACAGTACAGTTTTATGAGTAAAAGGCTGTGCTACTTTTTTTTTTAAGAGCAGAGAATTTTTTTTTTTTAAGATTTTATTTATTTGACAGACAGAGATCACAAGTAGGCAGAGAGGCAAGGCAGAGAAAGAGGAAAGGAAGCAGGCTTCCTGTTGAGCAGAGAACCCAATGTGGGGCTCGATCCCAGGACTCTGGGATCATGACCTGAGCTGAAGGCAGAGACTTAAACCCACTGAGCCACCCATGCTCCCCAAGGTTGTGCTATTAATTATTACCAGACAATAGTTAATACATAGCGGTATATTTACCCTATTATTAGGGCATTCTATTAAAAACCTACCACTCTAGGGATGCCTGGGTGGCTCAGTCAGTTAAGCATCAGCCTTTGGCTCAGGTCATGATCCCAGGGTCCTGGGGTCAAGTCCCTCATCAGGCTCCTTTGTTAGCAGGGAGTCTGCCTCTGCCTCTGAGTGCTGTTCCCTCTGCTTGCGTTCTCTCTCTCTGACAAATAAATAAATAAAATCTTAAAAAAAATCACTCTGCACTCATGGACTTTTCATTAATATCCCTACAAATATTTACTCAAAATTTAACTCCTTGGATTACAGCATTCACTTTGCAACTTTCAAAACATCCTTTTAATTGTAATCAGAATGCTGTTTCAAAAATGCACACTGGATAATATTTCTCCATGTTTAAATTCTTTAGTGGTTTCTCTTTTATTCAAACTCTTCACCATGACCCTTATGGCCTGGTATACAGTATGTAGTTCATGATCAACATCGTCGTAGATTACTTTCTATCATGGTCATTGCCGTCATCGTCATCAACATCATCATCACCCCACCGCTCACTTTCCATGTACCAAGCCTTGTGCTGACTATTTTATGTGAGATTTCCTTTTTAATCCTGACAAAATGTCATAAGGTATTTTTATTATCCCTATTTATGAAATGGAGAAACTCAGATGAAGAGAGGATGGACCGTTTGCCTAGTATACCACTTGTGAGAGAGAGTCAGATTTCAAAGTCTGAGAGTCTGATACCAAGAGACCTTGACATTGAACCTTAGCTTATATCGCCGCCCCTAATGTGTTAATTAAAAAGAAAAATAAGCAACTGTAAGACTTCATAAATGCCTCTTCTTGTCTTCCTCCAGACTCATTTCCTGGCATTCCCCCGCATCACACCAGACAATCTAGCCATTCTGATCTGACATTTCTGTGCAGAGAGTGCTTATTTTGCCTGTGGGCTTTCACATACGCCAGGCCCTCTTCCTGGGGCGTTGTTCCTCTTCCAGTTTACCTCCACACCTCATTGTCTGTGAAGTGATGGATTCAAAGACACTCATTCTATTATTCTTTTCATCATTTGTCCACTTTTGTTGGGTGCCCCATTCTCTTCTTGCAGTTCTGGTATGGATCACATTGTATTTTATATGTCAGTTTACATGTCTGTCTCCCACTAGATTGTAGGTACTCTGAAGGCAAGTACAATGTCTGTCTTTTCCACCACTGAATTACTAGTATTCTGGCACATAAAAGACACTTCAGGTTGTGAAAGAAAAATTGTACCAGATGGTGTTAAATAGTCAAGGAAGACTTTATTGAGGACTATTACTTAGATGGGGAGAGATATTGAACTTAACTGCTGAAATAAAAAATGGGAGATTTTTAAGAGCTGAGATGAAGTAGTGGAAAAAACACTACAAGATGTTGGGGGAAGGATGATGAATGTGATTAGGCATCTGTGTTTGTTAATAGGGTTTATCGAAGTTAAGCTCCTACTTTCACATAGAGACTCAGAGATAGAGGCACTATCTTATTAACATATAAAGTAGTATTTGTTTCAGGGGTACCGGTGTGATTCATCAGTCTTACACAATTCACAGAACTCATCATAGCACATACCCTCCCCAGTGTCCATCACCCAGCCACCCCATCTCTCTCAACACCCTCCCCTCCAGTAACCCTCAGTTTGTTTCCCTGAGATTGAGTCTCTTACGGTTTGTCTCTGTCTCTGGTTTCATCTTGTTTCATTTTATCCCTCCCTTCCCCTATGATTTTCTGTCTTATTTCTCAAATTCCTCGTATCAGGAGATCCTCTCATAATTGTCTTTCTCTGATTGTCCTGTTTCACTTAGCATAATACTAGAGGCACTATCTTAATGATTATCTCTCAAAGGTATGGCTTCCAAAGTCCTGGAGATAATATGGGTTGTAAAACTGACAAGAGGTTGGGAGAAAATTTATTTCTCAAAGGGGCAGAAAAAATAATTCACAATTCCAAGTTTAAAGCAAATGTTCTAAGAAAAGAGAGGTCAAGGGCCTAGATTGAAAGAAAGAAACCCTTCTAAAGTTTAGTCAAGCTGAGAGGAATTATAAGGTTATCTTAGTCAAGAACTATTTGTTGACTTAGTGAAAAATTAACCAGAAAATTTGAATACTCCATTATACAGTAAAACACTCCTGACATGTAGTGATTAGGACTATTACATGACTTTTTATTTAAATAATTTAAATAAGGTGTTCAACAATACACACAATGACATTTGGCTTTTTAACTATTTAAACTAATTGTTCTAATTACTTTTCATAGTTTTTTCTAATCCATAAAAAATAAACTAACATTATTATAATATGGTACTTTTCAAGTAAAGTTTAATGTTTTAATTGGACATTTTAGTTCTCCATTTACTGAAGCTTCTAAAAAATTACTGATAACATTAAAGTACATTGTAAATAAATAACTCTATATATACACAGTAGCTAGATAGAGCAGAAATAATATTTTTATTGCCTGCTAACTGAAGTTCTTCCCTATTTTAAGTGGTGTTTAATGTTGCTTAAATTATTGTGGCTGTAAAGGACATATATCCAATTTAATTAAACCTGTGTAATTTCAAAGAAGGTAAATTTAGTAGCTATATTTATATTCTCCCAAGTGTCATTGGATATGGCATTGATGTTTTCAAAGTGGATTTGCTTTCATTTTTATACATTTAGAGTACTATGAATCACCTCATATACAGGACAATAATTAAGTTAGCTAAATCTATCATATTGTACATTCTTTAACTATGTTTTTGTTTTTGTTTGTTTTTTGTTTTTTTGTTTTTTTCTTTCTAGCATCATCCTTGTCTCTCTCAAATTCAGGTGCCCAACCATTGTGCTTTTTTTTTTTTTTTTTTTTTTTAAGATTTTACTTATTTGACACAGAGAGAGAGAGATAGTGAGAGAGCACAAGCAGGGGGCATGGCAGGGAGGCAGGCAGAGGATGAGGGAGAAGTAGGCTCCCTGTGGAGCAAGGAGCCTGCTGTGGGGCTCCACCCCAGCACCCTGGGATCATGACCTGAGCTGAAGGCACCCACTTAACTGACTGGGCCACCCAGGTGCCCCCATTGTGCATGTTTATGAAGGTTAATCCTAAACCGGAATTTCATTCACTGACCATAGACATAGTTGAGTTTCTACAGTAATGAGTTGATTAGGCAGAAATTTTGCAAAGATATGTGGGGAGGAGTAGGGGCAAACATTATCTGCATTTGAAAAGACCAAATTTACAAATCAGTACTCTTTAATGTAATTTTTTTCTCCTTGACTAACTGGGGATTTATTTGTATGCATTCTAAGTGGCAGTGCCATGGGAAACTGAGATTTTTGTCATTTTGGTTTAACACAGATTCACCCAGAAAGCATAACCCTGATTTTGCCTGAGAAGGACTACTAACAGAACCTGAAACGTGAGTACTGCTTTTTTGTTTTGTTTTTTTCTTTTTTTGTGCTGTTGAATTCTATGCTATATAACTAACTCTGATGACATGGCCTTTATTAAGATATGTAATGAAAGTCTTGAGTAAGTGTAATTATAGACTATGAGAAGTATAAGAAGGGCGGAAAGTGAAAAGTGATATTTCTGTTTTATTGTTCCCTTTGAGAGAATTTTTGTAGTTAATGTTTAACTTTGAAGACAGTACATTTGTGCTATTCATTGACATTCAATTTAAAGCATACAGTTTGTAGTTTTTTTTATTCCATTGTATCTGTGGTTGATAAGATATGTAAATAAGGTCTCTCACAAATACATATCTTTTGTGTTATTTTGAACGTAATTTATTTTTCATCTTTTCTATGATCAACCTCCCAAAGTGCTTAGAGCATGTATTTAGCATCTCAGTTTTTCTCTGGGTTTTTTTCAAATGGAATCATAGTCTGCTAAAGGTAAAAGCTTGTTGTGTCTTTCTGCGCCATTCTGTCATAGATCTGTCTTGCAGCTACTTACTAATTCTTGTCATCTCTTCTCCCTGTTTGGTCTCTGATAAGTTGTCTTTAACAACCTGTTGTTTTGTTCTTGAACTTTGCCATGGCTGCAACTCTGGGGCATCAGAACTGTCAAAAATAAAAGTGAAAGAGCAAGAGGCACCGAGCTTATGAAAGTTAGAGAAGACATAATAAGGCCTGGTATTGATTGATGACTTTCCCACTGCAGATAGTTTTCACTTTATCCCATTTGCTGTCACAGTACACAGTACCTGAAATAAGGAGGCTTGTTGTTGTTTTTTTCCCCCCTCAGTAATGGACGATGGGGGCTGTTTGCTTTGTGAGAATCTGCCACAGCCACATGCCAAGTGGCTTTATCTTTGAAGGTGAGGGTGAAACAAGCTTGCCTGGCTGCAGATAAGCGACTTAGAAAGAATCCTATTCAGATGTACCTGTCACTAATTTATCTGGAGGTTTTGTGATTCATACACACTGTTCTCTGTGCCATGGAGCATTAAATTGCTTTCCTCTGGGAGCAGGTCACATTCAGGGGTCATCAGACCTATGCTGCGGGATGGTGCATGCTTGATTCATATAGCTTCTTGCTACTGAATTTCTATCTATTAGAAAGCTGGTAATTTGAACATATGCTAGATGATCTCTTGGAACATTTCAACAGGAAAAGGATTGACAAAAATTTAACTATTAATATGCAAGTGTTTGTAACAAAAAATTAATCATCCCTTCTTTTGTTAGCACAGTCATTTATTCTGATGATTAAGTAGTTTAAATATGCTTCCCAATAATGACCTAACTCTTGATTAATGCATTTCCATGGCTTCTTTATTTATTAAACAAAGGCATATGTACTTAAGGGCATTACTTTTACTTAAAAAAAAAAAGAAGAAGAAGAAGCAGAGCTGAGAAAGCTTTAGAAAATAAAGATTTTTTTTTTTTTCCTATTTACAGTATAGTTTTCTGGTGTGGAAATTCCACTTTATTACCCCATATGTATTTTGAGAGAAAATGGCATACCTTGGAAAATGAGACCAACACTAGTTCAAATTTGAAAAGGACATGAAAGAGATGCTTATTTTTTATGTGTTAAAATTGTGCTGAGAGACTTTAGTACTATCTTTAGATCTATCTTTTTGGATGTGGGATATTTAACATATGCAAAAAAACCTTTTTTTCTTATTATTTCCATCATGAGGTATGTAAAATTTAAACCCAATATCTTCTTTTGGGTTTTAAGAGTGCTCCATTTTGTGTAAAATTAAGTCAATAAATGGCAAAGAGGTAGTTAAATGAAAGCAATCAGAGAAATCTTTTTAAAGTGTTTTTAGCATGCGTGACAGCAGTCTTAATGGTGGATAAAGTAACTATATAAACTTATATGTTTTTGCTATTTTTAAAAATTTAACATTGCTTCTTATACTCTCTATTGCAATCCAAAACAAATGATCTTTTCATGAAGTTGTAAAAAGAAAACTCTTCCAACTGGATAAAAATGACGACTTTATGCTGCATTTATATGGTAGAAGTCTTTTGATGTTTGTCCTAGTTGTGAAAATGTGGAACATTTAACATGAACCAGAATTTTCTTATTAATGAATTAAAGCATAAGTAGGGCATTGCTGTGAGAACTTATTCTATCATTTATGCATAATTTACAGTGTTTAAATAAGATATTCATCACATTTCCCAGTCTTTAAATTACATTGTGACCTTAAAACCTTATAAGGTCTCTTAATAAATAGGAGTGTGAAATAAATATATTTAATAATACTATTTTAGGATTTCAACATGTTCTGTTAAGCATTTCTCTGTTAAAAAAAAAGAATGAAAGAAGGAAAGAAAGAAAGAAAAAAAGAAAGAAAGAAAGAAAGAAAGGAAGGAAGGAAAACAGTTCATAAAACAACAAAAAAAAAATACCAATACACTTTATGCAAAGTACATATAACCGGGCATATTTTTGCCCTTTTCCTTCTAATTTCTTTTCTATTGAGGATGGGAAAAAAAATCTAATTTTTGAATTTTCAATGTTTTCCACAAACTTATTATATAACTTCACTAGGAGGTATTTCTTTTTTAAAGAAAACTATTTAAAAACACAGATTAAATTCATATTATTTTTAGAGTAATTCAGAGAAAACTGTTTTGTTAGAGATAGAGGATTTAAGTATTCTGTTGAAACATATTTTTAAACAGTTCTCTGTATCACAAAGTTTCTTCTGTTCTTTACATGAATAGCTCAGACTCCACTAAACTAGCTTATATGTCATTTTTTTAAATGACATCCAACCTAGCAAACACCTCTTACAAAGTTTTTTTTTTTTTTACTTCATGGCATTTGTCATAATTTTTAAGCATTTTATTTATATTTTATTAAAAAATAAAAGTAAATATAGAGAGAAGAGGGAAAAATATTTACTTTTTTATTTTTGTGCCTCTTCCAAAACTTAAACACAATATTTAGTGCCCAGCATAATGCCTGGAATATAATAAATAGTCAATAAAATTTGTTGAACGAGTAAGATTGGATAATGAATACAAAATCATTCTATATACAGGAATATAAGAAATGTAATGTATTTGTCAAATACATAGTACCGAGTGTTATATACTCATGGGTTTATTTAACAAAATAATTACAAATACACATTGTATACAAACAGAGAAATCAGCAAGCTTCAGACTTCATTAGCTTCCTCACTGCGCAAAGCCTACCAAAACTTATTAAATATTAAGTGCCATGACACACATAACTGGTATTGTCCAAGAGTAGTTATGAAATATTCTGTAAGTATCTTTTTAAATGGTTTAAAGAAAAACAATAAAAACCTATGGTTATTAAAAACATCCATTTATTTTACAAGAATTTATTGAGATGACTGTGTATGTATGTATGTATGTATAAAACTGTGCAAAAGTCTATAGATTTACTATTAAAATTGTTAACTCTCATTTTGTAAAATCAATATATAATAAGGAAATTCAATATACACTTTCAAAAATACAGTAGAGCTTTAACTACAAAGAGAACCCAAAATGGAGCTTACACAAGCTTTGAAGAAAGCTGAAGGAATTCTTGGCACAGGGAATGGCCATCGCAAGTCATGAAGAAGGTATTAGTAAGAATTAGTTGCTTATTACTTACCATCCTAAATGTAGGTGGATGTATTATGCTATATTTGGCTAAGAAGGGACATTTTACTTAAAAGTAGATTAGAGCAAGATTGTGGAAGATTTAACACTAGTTTAAGGAATTTGGAATTCTGTTGGCATGTAGCTCTGTCCCCTGAACATGTCCAATCTCTTCTTCTAAAAGCACAGAAAATAAGAGTGTGATTATTTTGAATGACAGTCCATACAGAAAAATCTGGTTGTAGGTACTACAGGATTTTCCTTGGGTGCCTGCTGTATACCTACATGCACATATGTGCATTCCCCCACATGTGTCTGTGGCTTGTGTAGGTGTATGTACTCCACTTAGTCTGGCTTCACTTTACAAAATCAATTAGAGGAGGAATCATTATCAATATGCATAGAAACTGCTAATGACTTTGACAAATACTCGATAAACTCACCAAGCAGGAAGGCTGAAATAAAATATCAGTAACCCAGGGCTTATCTCTGAGAGACACATTTGAGGAAAAACTCATGAGGATAACAACTTGTAAAATGCGAAAAAGAAGAGGTCAGATACTTAATGATACTTGAAGAGCAGAAGAGCAAGATACCTATAATCTGTTAACTTCATGAAACATATTCTTTATACCATACATGGTGAAACATGTAAATAGAAATTTTGTGATCATTTATTTTTTGATAACTGATAATAAATATTTTTGAAATTATCAAAGAAATTTGGAAAATATCATACCAAATACCTTTTTTTAAAGAATGAAAAAATGCATTAGCCTGTGAAAAGTTCAAAGAATTAAAAAAAAAAAGTTCAAAGAATTCTTACACTAACATTGGTATTTAACCCAGTATTTACCAAACTAGTTTAAGTAGGTTCCCTTTATTTCAGGAGCCATGATCTTTCTAGATTCCATGTTGCCTAGATCTAGATTGAGAATGTCATTCTCTGAAAGCATTTATAGTAGGAAGAGTAAATGCATACTATTATTGTTTGGCATTTTATTGTTTGGCTATCTAAGAATCTTGGCATACTTCAAGTTTCCAAAGTCATTCTCCTATATTTTCATCTAGAATCTTTTTGCTTCTAGCTTTACATTCAATTCTATGAACCAGCTAAGTTAATTTTTGTGTATTGAAAACCGTAAGGATCAATAATCATTTTTAGCTCAGAATTTGTTCCAAAATTCATCGAAAGTATTTGTGTGAGTTTTTTACTGTTCTATTCATCCATTTGTGCATTATTAAATACTTGAAGTTTGCTATTGTTACATTTGTCTGTTATTATTACAGATTAAGAGCAAGTTTTGAAATACATTAGTGTGACTACCAATGTATC